AAACAGGCTTTACCATCCCTCCTTGGAACTCAAACCCGGGGAAAAGCCGGCTTCAACCGTCCTCGACGACAGGACGGCGGCCGTCCGAAGAGCGAGCCACAGTCGCTTCTTACGTTACCGGGCCAAAAGATAAGAATCAAAAGAGACGAGTGCGCGCATAAAAGGGAATACGTACGCCATAGAACGCCTGCCAACCTCATAATACTAGTTTTGTCCAAGACGGCGGGGCTCGAGCCTGTGTCCTCAAGGGCTTCTGTTTGCCATGTTGAAAGAAAGTCATCTAGTGAATTGAACGTCAGCTTCTGATTGGGTCGAAAGGTCCTGGCCTTGCTAGATGCATTTGCACGATTTAATTGGTCGGCACAAGTCAAGAGTACTGATGAGTGAAGAGTGTTAAATGAGTGTTGAAAGGTGGCTGCGTATGTAATGTTTTAAAGCCAACAGTGAGAGGGAAACTAAGTGGGCATATATCACAACAATCTGCAATCAGTCGCTTTTGTGTGTTGTCTGGCTAACTGAATCTACTCCTATTTTGCCTTTTCAGGGTGCAGAATTTATTCAACTTCTCGAATCCGAACGGAATGGCCGCGTAAAAACGGAGGTAGTGGAAGAACTACAGGCTGAGGTAAACTATTTAGAGATATGCACAAATATTAAGTTTCAAAGAACTCCTTAGGGATATATTGTGACTCAACTTTCCATTTCGAAAGAAAAACTGGTTGGAGGGAATATGTGAAATGGGCTCACGGGAAACATACTCATTTACGAAAAACACAGCATGATTGCCGTGAAATGAAGTCTGTTGGAGTGTGCGTACAAGTCCTCGGCCCACCGTCATGCGACCCTAAACCACCAACGGTGAGCCGGTGGGACTAGTTCACGTATTCCTTCCAACCAACTTCTCCTTCGAAATAGAAAGTCATTTCATAAAGTAAACAATTCATGTGTTATTACAACTAAGCTACTCTCTTACAAGAAGAGCATCTGGGTTTCGATAAATCTCCAGATAACTAGTAATAACTTCCAGTTTTGTGGGTCGGTCTGACCAAAAGGTATCGCCCTCTTCCTGCCCCTCAACAGTCGTTTGATGTTGCTGCGGCGCTTAGTTACGTAGTCGACGAAACATCCTCCTGTGATGCGGGTGGAAATGAACTGGGCTTCCGTCCGTCATGCCAGTGGAGAGAGGTCATCAGAGCTGAATCTCACTCTTACAAGAACTTGAAGCTAACACCATGTCAAGAAGACCAACGGGCTCTGTCTTGCCCTTTTATAAATATTCGAGGCAATAGTTAAAAGAATAACTGAAAAGATAGAGAATGGCCTCTTTAATGTTAATTTAAATATTTTCATATTTTGAGAGTGTTCTGACTTGAAATATTCACAACACCCACAAAAAGGACTATAAATATGCATATATAAGCAAAGAGACAGAAAATGATTTGGATTTCTCCTTTTCCTGTTAATCCAAGTGCTCTCGGGTTTGTGTGTGTGTGTGTTTGGTAGCCAGGGTATGAAACTTCCAGTAGCTCTGAGTAATTAACAGCAGAGCGCAAGGTCTGAGAATGTACCAACTCCACGGTCTGATGCTGGGATTTATGATTACTCCTATGGCAGATGACTTGGGACTAGGTGCGTTCTAATAAGTCGCCCGGACAACAAGACCAAGTTGCGACAACGAGGTCAACCCACTTCTATAAATCGAAAGGAAACTGCGACCATACCAGACGCCATAACATCTGGGTCTTCATATTTTCAATTAAATTAATGATGGTATTGCCGATTTGGCAAACTTTGAATTTCAACCACATTTGAACATACTACTTTTATGCACAGCGAGTATTTATCGAAAGTGCCAGTAAATATTAGAGGAGAACTTGAATTTAATGTGATCTTGGGATTGATAATGGCATTTCCCACAATGAAATGCGTTTGCCTCTCAAGGCTAGTCTTAGACTCGAACCATGCTCTCTAGAATATACATAAATAAGGCCATAAAACAGTACAAATCATAATCCAACAAGCTCAATAATTTCCCTTGTTTATATATAATTTGCCCTCAATATCAATTTATACGTGTAGATCGCAATTAAAACAAGTCATTTATTCCTCGCAAATGTCCAACTATTCAAAATGGACCATTCCAAGAATGTATATCATATCCATTCATGCCATTGTCTGCATCGCATTGAAAGGGCTTAATGAAACTGTCAGCATGTTGAATAGCACCAATGGATACAGAAAAGGCATCAGAAACCACAGGTTCACTTTAACCATAGTAATACAGACTACGAATCATCATCCTCTGTTGCTTGGGCAATAGCCGGTGCATCGGTTCGCCACAAGTGGTGTCTTTTAAATTGGGCAGTTGTGCACTTGTACCTCGGTCCGTGTCGTGTTTGTTGGTAGAAATATTACTTTTACATTCTCACGCAAATCTGTCATTGCAACACTTCTGCTCGCAGAGGGCTTTTTCAAACGGCACCAAGTTGATGCTGCTTTACCCTTTTTCTAAACTTATTCTGTACCGTCGATTCCCGCACTGCAGCATCTCTGCCACCAAATATTTGTTTTAATATATTCGCTAAACACCATACGCCTCCACTACTCACTTTGGTTAAACTTACCAATGGAATGTCGCTTAGTTTTTTATCTGTTTTGCTATTCACATGCCGAACTGGACGGCGTGACAAGCAGCAACACACGCATGGATAGCATTGGTGTAACGAGAACCGATGTGTCTGCTTCGCTGCCTTTTTGCAGACTTGACGGTGGCAAACGGAACTTCGGCTCGCAACGCATACGACCTGGAGTCAATGCATGACTCCTACTAACATGGAATTTGAACTATTCGAAATTGTATCCATCACAACCCGCCTGTACATTGCGTATTTTTCACTTGTGTAGAGTTTGTGCTAATGTTATCGTACATCCCCGTATCCATCACAAATGCAGCCTGTCTGTGATTGCATGTCTCTTCTGCCACTTTTGCTCACCTTTTCGCTCTTTCTAACCCCCTTCTTGTAGGCCTTGGTCGCGGAGATTCTGCCCGACCTCGAGATACCGGCTAGCTACGAGGAGACGGCAGTGACGAAATCCATCTACAGGTCAGTCCTCTCGTTCCGAGTCTTGCATTCTTTCCAAGATCCGTGACACAAACAGAGAAGAGGACACGCCAAGTGGACCAGTCGCGAGGTTGCCGGACTCAAAAGTGAAATCCACTCGTCCAGTCGGCTCTCCTCCAGACTGGCCCGCTTCCGACGTCTTCTCAATGGTCCTTGTGCCCGCTTTTCTGTTTGTAGCGTCGCTTGCGACGTATTTGGGACATTTTTGGTTGACAGGCTAGGCTACATGACGAGGAAAGGAAAAGTAATGCAATCTCTGTATCCAATAAATTGTTGCCTTTCAGATGCTCTGATGAGTCGGGCGCGCTGACGACAACTCTGATATGCGAGGGTACATGTCCCAAAGAGATGATCTCCGAGGATGACGTCTTCTTCCTCGTCGGCTCCACTGGGTTGTTCGTCTACATCGGAAAGGAGTGCTCCGACAATGAGAAGCATAATGCGCTTGCAAAGGCCCACGTAAGTAGGTTGGAAGCCATTGCGTTTCAAAGTTGGTAGAAGATATGAATATGAGATGTATTCACCCAATTTTGTTTAGGGGTATTAAGAACTGATAGAAGAATTTTCCCACAATGATATGACTTGAGCTGACATTTCCATTAAATTTCACATATCCTTGAGTTACAAAAGGTTCTTCTCATCCAGGCCCCAGTGGACTGCAGTTCCGACCTCGCATCAAATTGCCGTCCATCTTGGATGAGAACAACTTTTGGGAAAGCAAGGCTATGTAAAACTCATATCATCATCACCTTAAACGAAATTGGGTGAATACATGTCATATTACTGATTTTATGGAAGCCTAGACACAATACTTAGATGCGAAAAAGAAGGTGTGGCCCTCGGCATGGCTGCAGTCTTCTCTCGATGCATATAAGTGGGATGATACCATTTTCGCAACTTGGTCGTAGTCTCAGCGAGACTTCGTTTGACGCACCTTGTACGAAGTCCCCTTCCACAGTAGTTATCATGATT